ATAATAAAAAGACATTTCTTAAGAGAGTTGTTTTTGTGAAAAAGATTTTGAAAAATGATTAAATATATCAGCTGCACAAGAAAATTGAAAATCATGGAGTAGAATGAGGCTGGACTTGAAACTAACAAAAAGGAATAAAAGCTTCCATACCTGCCTGGATCCAAGAGGTTACATAAGAGGCCCATTTATACATACATAACATATGCCTGCCATTTATTTATATGCTGGCATAGAGATTAATTTGTCCCTTGTTTTTTTGGTTGTTTTTTTGGAAAATATTTAAAAATTCATTATTTAAGCTACTAAATTTAACTTTGATGGCAATATCTTAATTCACATTTTATTTTCAGATTTATATGGGACAAATAATACTGAAATTTACTGAAATTCTTTTTATTTTGGTATGCTTAAAAGTTAGCCCAGTTGGAGCAATCCTGTAGTAAAACTTTTTAGATAATTTTATCTTAATTAGTTTTAGTGTTATACCATATTATATTGACACAATAAACATAGTTTATTTACATTTATTATATTTAATTACATTTAATATTTGATATGTATATATATTTTTAAATTAACATAGCCTTTTTACATTTATTATATTTAATTATATTTAATATTTGATATGTATATATATATTTAAATTAAAATTGTTAATTCAACATTGTTGGACCTGCTCTTGCAGCAATCCTCCAACCATTATCACATCGTCATAATGTTGCTTCTCCTTTTCTCTTTTCTTTAAATACTATAATGGGCATTGCTCTAAAGAGCTAGCATCTCTTTTGCCATCTACTAAAATTCATTCTTGTGTTATTTGTCATTCAACTAAGTCTCATCCTTTTTTTACGACTATTTCTAAGTGCTCCAAAAACTTATTTATTTAGTTTTTTTCCTCAAACATCAGTTCTTTGGAATTCGCTTCCTTCATCTTGCTTTCCTGATTCATAAAATTTGCAATCTTTTAAGTCGTCTGTTAACCGTTATCTTGCTCTATAAACTTCATCTTTTCTCTTTCAGTAACTTCCAACTGTAATAGTGGTTGCTTGCAGTCTTGTTGGAAGCAAAGATGTTTAAATTTTTTTTGTTGTTGATTAAAACAAAAAAATAAATGCATACTAAGAAAAACTAACATTTTTATTTTAGTCGAAGCTTGCCAAAAAAAAAGTCAATGATGTTGATTGCAGCATATATTATGCTGACTTTTTGGCCTACAACAAAATGGAGAAGGTGAGCTTCGACTAAAATAAAAAAGTTTTAATAAAAAAATTTAGCCCTAACATTTTTATCATTCTCTTAAATATGAACACATTATGTCTTGGAGGCTTGAGATTCATTTAAATTTTGAAAAATTTTAGTGGCCTTCTGTTTCAGCTTCTGTTTAACTAACAGTTGTTTAAAACTCAACAACTTAAGTTGTTATGGTTTCTAATTAAAATTGTGTGCAATTTTGAGCTTTTCAAAAACAGTAAACTCTATTTTGATCATATCATATATTAAACCACTAATCACTGAACTCAACAGCTGTTATTCAATAAAAAAAAATCTTATTGTAAACTCTATTTTGACTACTATTATTTTTATTATTAATAAAAATTATGATTTAAACTTTAATATTTTAATTCATTTTGTAAATCGTCAATTAAAACTAGAAAAATAAAGCAAGATAAAGTACGATAATATCAAAAAACCACTGCTAATCACAACAATCTAAAGGAATTTAGCAGTGATCAAGTAACTAATTTAAACTTTTTATAGCCATTTTAAAACAAAACAAAAAAACTCTAATGACTTATATAAAAGTATATATTTTTTATTATTATTTTTATTATCAATTAATTTATTTCCAAAATTAAACATTTAAATTTTTAAATAATTCTTTAAACTTTCTCCCTAAACAAAAATTGATACTAATGTTTCATACAAAAAGCAAATAGCTTTAGCATAATTTTTATAATACTTAAATTATCTTGTGTTTTAAAAAACAATAAAAAAAGTTTATGCAGTAGCAAATTTATTGCTTCGTTTTTTTTTAATTAAATTTTGCAATAGGATATTTAATTAAATTTCGCAATAGGATAATAATAGGTTCACTGTTTTATAATAAACTGAGAATTTAATGACCAGAAATATTTACGGATATTGCGATTTCCAATCACTTAATTTGAACTTTGTATATATATATATCTATATATATCTATATATACATACATATATATATATATATATATATATATATATATATATATATATATATATATATATATATATATATATATATATATATATATATATATATATATATATGGAACAATACAAATAAAAATTTCCAATATGAACTTTTATACTTTGTTACTATTTTTAAGTTAATTTATAGTTTTATTGATGAATTCAGCAGTAATTAAAAACATGATTTTTTTTTTTTTGTTGGAATAATAAATAAAACATGCAATGAATTATTTTTTTTAAACTTGTTATTATGTCTTTTCTATAGTAATTGTTTATAAACTGGTTGTCTACTAGGAAATTTTTGCTAATTTTGAAAAAAATAAATTTAAATTAGTCGAACTTTCTGAAAACTAATTATTTTCATGACTGGATTTAATCCAAGTACCAGATCAGTTGGAATCATTTAGAAATTTGAAATAAGATAGGAAAATTTTGATTTTTGTCATTCACTTCAAATGGAGTCTATAGGTCCAAAGGGTTAAAATTATTATCATTATTAGGTATAAAAAGTATATTGTAGAAAGACAATCATAGATTGTAATGTTGAACGTTGGCAAACTAGATCTGGAGGATTGGCAACTCAAATTCTCTTGCTACCAGATGCAGACAGATCAGATCCAGACAATGATTCGTTATCAGACACATTCATTCCCCTTACCCTCTATTCAAAAAAGAAACTATTTTATGAAAATAGTTCATCATCAGAAGTAGAAGATCCATCAGCTGAAATACCGAAACCTATTAAATACTTTCATAAATACTTTACATATTTGAATACTTCCAGAAATTTTTTTAAACTAACATTTACGCTGTGTAAAGTCATTTCAGCTTCAGAACCGGTATTTTGGTAAAGATGGGCATTGTGCATATGCCTAAATACTGATTGTATTGGGCGAAAGATAAGGTTTTCTTCAGTGGTAGATGTGATTAGTAGAAATTGATTTGCTGAGCTCCAGAAATTTATTCACTTCAATGACAATTTGTTATTTGTCACTGATTGGGATGATCCACAATACAATAGATATTTAAAGGTTTAGTCCATGCTGACTATGTTATGTGATGCTTGCCTACAAACCAGAGCCAGAAAAAAAGATGAACATTGATGAGCAAATAATACATATAAAAGGAAGAACAGTTTATGACTATATCTTCCTAAAAACGAAAGAAATGAGGTTTTAAGGTTATTACACAATGCAAAGTTAGTGGATTGACTTACGATTTTCTGTTGTATGATGGTAGTTGTCCTTTAGTGTCAGAAAGTTGTGGATATCAACCTGACTTTGTCATAAAACTCTGTGAAACTCTTCCAATAGACAAAAACTTCAAAGTCTACTTTGACAACTGATTCACCTTCCTTGAATTTCACACACAGCTGCAAAAAAACTTGATTTTCTAAAGTTCAGCATCAGTATCAGTAAAAGTCTCATATTCGAAGAAAAGCTACTGCAACTCCATGCTCGAAAATGATTCAGATCGCCTTTTAAGATTTTCTCAACAAGCCAGAAATGATGAAGATAAAGACGAATATCAGAGTAAAAAACAGCACACTACAAAGACAAAAAGAAAACTCACTTTTTTCAACTTGTCAGGGTGGTATGACAACATTTGCCACTTTCCATGTTGCATTTTGCAGTTTTAGCTATGTGCTTGCAGAGCCAAAACAGCGATGTAATGTGTGCAACACAAACGTGAGAATGAAATACATAAAGTGGGGTTGTCATTTATGTGTAACTAAGGACAAAAACTTTTTTTTTTTTTATTTCATGATCTTTCAAACAAAGTAGTACATGCATAAAAAAATTTTTTTTTTTTTATTTGCTTTTGTTATTTGCTTTTTTTATTTGCTTTGTTATTTGCTTTTGTTATTTGCTTTGTTATTTGCTTTGTTATTTGCTTTTGTTAATTGCTTTGTTATTTGCTTTGTTATTTGCTTTGTTATTTCCTTTTGTTATTTGCTTTGTTATTTGCTTTGTTATTTGGTTTTGTTATTTGCTTTGTTGATTGCTTTTGAATTAACATATAATGTTGAGAAAAATAAATTTTATCAAGTAAAAAAGAAAAATTTTATTTCACTTTTTATGATTCGAGATTTAAGGTTCAATTTTTAAACAAAAAAGTGCATTTTTACAAATATACTTACCATTCTATGGAGCTAAAGTTGAGGAGTTTACTCTCTTTTTTTAACTGCTGTTAAAGATAAACTTCAACCTTTTAACTCTACTATTACTACATACCACAATAAAGATTGCAAACAGCACTACATCACTACCACATACTGCAATAAAGATTGCAAACAACACTACATGACTACCACATACTGCAATAATGATTGCAAATAACACTACATCGCTACCACTACTGCAATAAAGATTGCAAACAACACTACAACACTACTGTAAATTGCAAATAAAACTACATCACAACGAATAAAACTAAAAATTCTAAAATATATATTTTTAATTTACTTCAAAGATTATAGATTTTTATATTTTAAAAAAATTTTATATTCAATCTATAAATCAAATTTAATATAAAATTTAAACATTATACAATTTAACAGTTTATAGTAGCTTTTTTTAAACATTTGTTTAAGCTGTTTTTCATTTACATTTGTTGTAAGCTGTTTTTCTTTTGTTTTTTTGCTTTTGATGATAGAAAACCCATATTAAATAATTTACATGTTTTTATGCAATTTTTACATCTATATTTCAATACATTTCTTTATGCTAATCATTAGTTCTTGTTTAATCTAAAACAGAACAAGTTCTAACCTATATAATCTTGCCATGATACAGCATCAACATTAACTGATAAAGGACCTTTCTGTGATAATACACGAATCATATATTCTTCATTACCAACAAAACTAAAAAGAAAAGTTCACTCAATTGCAATAATGGTTTCAAGTTTCAGCAGAAATAAATTTTATTCAATTAATCAGTAATAATGGAATTAAATACCACAAACAACAAAAAAAGCTGCTCAAATAAATAATAAAACCATATATTTTATACTATTATGAAACATATATTTTATACTAATGTGAACCATGTTATGGCTAATCTTGTTAATGATTGAAATATATACTTGTTCAGAAAAAATTAACAAAAAATTCTAATATAAAATTTAATTTCAAAAATTAAAACAAATAACAATCCAGAAGAAAAAAATTAAAAGATAAACAAAAACCTTTGACAGCCACAGACAGCATATATTCTAGCATCTGAAGTTGTGCTAAAAATTTAAATAAAAATGTTTTTCAAAATTTAATAAAAAGCAAAAAGAAGGGAAGTTCTATGTCAAACAACAGGAAAAAAAATACACTGATAAAGTGAATTTAATTGAAGAATAAAAAGATCAAAAACTAAAAATCTTAAAGTATAGTTAAGTAAAAAATGTGCTAATATAAAACTTCTAAGTGCTAATATATATAAATAAATTTAGCTTTGTAAGGCTGCCAACAAGCACCCACCCGTTGGTTACTGCTTGGGTAGGATTACTAAATAATGGGTAACTGTCATTTAATAATTTTAAATTCATTTCTTTTATTTTTAATGTTTAAAATCGTTAATCATAATGTAAAAATTTTACAATATTAATTTGATATGTGATAGAAGTCTTGAAGATTTAGTTGTTATAAATTATTTAAATTTTTACCACCATCAGAACTTTTGAAAACACTTCATATAAAGTTCAAAAAGTTATTTGAGCTTCAGTCTCAGATACACACTTATTACTCCTCAATAAGCATTATTATTGTGGCTGAATAGCTAAGTTAGAGCATTAAACAAAATGTTAAAAGCGAGATTGTTGTGCAATACTAATTCAAACCCAGTCACCATCAACTCAGTACTTGAATAGTACTTTAATACGCAATAATGTTGATCAATAAAGGACAGACAAAGAATAAAGATGCTACGCTTTATGACAATTTGTGGCTGTTCCTATATTAAGCTATTGATATCTTCAGATATAAGAGCATTGTATAGCAAAATATACCAAGAAATACAAATAAACAAAATAAAAAATAATATTTTTCTTATGTACACAGGCTTGGTTGGGAAGTGAGTGCAATTGCACTCTATACCTAACCATGTATATAATTTAGTTGTGACAAGTTGGTAACGACTTTTTATATGTTTTGAGAACATTTTAAAAATGCACAAAAAAAGAGTTAATTGACAGGTGGTAGACAATTACAAAAAAAAAACTCAACAAAAAAAAAAAAAAGAGTAAACTGACTGACAATAGACAATTACAAAAAAAAACTTAACTAAAAAAAAAAAAGTAAATTGACTGATGGTAAACAATTGCAAAAAAAAAAAAAAAATTGATTAAAAAAAGAAAAGAACTCTTAACAAAAAAAAACTTATCTTAAAGAAAATAAATTACATTAGAATTAATAATTTCTAAACTTTTTTTAAACAAAATTTTTTTATAAAATTTAGCAACACTCTTTTATATAAAGTAACAACTTACTATTAATGATTGTTTAATAATAAACATTATCAATTATCAAAGAGTATAATACAACTTCTTTTATTTTTTATTTCTACAAGATTCTAACACTAGTTGAAATATTTTTTTATAACCATTTATGCTTTGCATAGTTTACAAAGTTTAAAATATTTGAAACAATTCTTCTTAGTAAGGTTAACAAAAGAGTTAACTGAAATTCTTATTAAAAAATAACAACTTTTTTGTTTAGCAGTGTCTTTTAAATTATATGCATGGTTAGGTATAGAATTGTATATAAATTGCAATCACTTCCCAACCAAGCCTGTGTACATAGGAAAAACATTATTTTCTATTTTATTTATTTATTTTAATTTCTAATATGTATTATAAATTATAATGTAATTACATTTTTTTTTTTAGTTAATTCACCTCCTCAAGGCTGAGAAGGCCACTACAGACAAGGAGGCTACTTAATAGTGGTTATAATCCTCTTTCAACTCTATAACTCCGAAACGTTGAGCACGGTACTACCAGGGACGTGGTGGGGATCGAACATTCTAAATGCATTGTAATTTAATTCTGTATTTTTCAAAATAATAGCAAGTTTTTATTGCATCAAAATAATTGATAGCAAATTTTTATGGTTGAACTAAAAAAATTAAAATAAATAAATGAAGTTGATGATCATTAGTAATTAGGCTTTTTAATTTTTAAGTCACTTTATATATCTGTTTTCTGTCTGGACCTCTATCACGGTGTTGGTTCACTCAAAAGTCACTTTATATATCTGTGTATTTGTGTTCTGTCTGGCACAGTGCTGGTTCACCCATCAGTCAATACACTTGCGAATATGGTTTCTTTATAGACCTCTGGCATACTGGTTTATCTGTAAGTCAATTTATATATTTGTATCTTTTGTTTTGTTTGAACCTCTGGTGCAGTGTTCATCCACTCGTAATTCACTGTGTATATATTAGGGTGTTTCATATTTTACGATTTTTGTAATTGACCTTGCACTTTGATTTATAAATAGACTATATATATTTAGATATGGTTAAGCAAAAAAAAAAAAAAAAAAAAAAAAACTTTTTTTTAGGAATTTTTAGGGTCACCTGACCTAAACTGACCTAATTTTGGTCCAAAATTGTAGGGTGTTGCAAACACTGGGCGTTTGAAACACCCAAAAACCTTGAAATTTATTCTATAATTTTTTTTATTTTTGTAAATGGTATATATTGGATTGTTTATTAGTTAAAGAAAAGGAACATGTAAAAATTATGAAGTCTGCAAAATCTTCAGAAATTGATGAAAAAAAAGGAACATGTAAAAATTATGAAAACTGCAAAATCTTCAGAAATTGATAAAAAAGATTTTTGCTTAAAAAAAAGGTGTCTATTTTTGGCGGTATATGAAAAGCGTTTTTGGAATAAACTGTTTACAGACGCCAAACAAACTATCACCTGAATAGTTTTATATAGGCAGAGCCAAAACCACAATATTGATATTAGGGGTTGAGGCCCCTCCACTTTCCCCCACCCCCCACCACACACACAATATCCAAGTTTTAAGGTCATTAATTTCAAAATTTTTGAAATTATTAGCCTTAAAATAACATTTCTAAAAAAACAAAATATTTTGGGAAAGGGCCTTGACCCCCCCTGGTCCACCTGGTAATTACAGCTCTGTGTAGGCATTAAAAAAATTATCCATGATCTTTGGAGGTGACATGACTTTAAATTAAGTATTAATTGAACTTGATAATCAAGGGCTTATTAATTATTTTCCATTTAATTTTGTTCTTTTTAAGATAAATATTTAGAGAACTTAATGTAATGTGGTTGCAGGGAGTTACTTAGTTAACTTAGTTAACATTATAGTAAAAAATAACAAAAAAATTTTTTATGTTAACATAACTTTGAAGAATCAATGCTACTTTTAATGTCATTCCAGTTTATTTGGAACCGTTTGAACATTTTCTGATGATTTAGTTTTTACAGTGGTAAGTTTTTCACTGTTTTTGTTTGAGAAGTAATTTATAAATATGTCTCCTGAAAGCCACCTTTAGTAAAATTAAGTTTTTGACTAAACCTGACATTGGTAGCAGAAAATCTTCCTGTACTTGTAGCAGTGGTATAAAACTATAAACCTTTCACATTGTCACTTGGTCCATATTCTTCCAGTAATTCAACTAAAGCATTGAATCCAATACAATTGCTGAAATGCCAAGCAGCTTTATTTCCATATTAATATTTACCGATATCGCAAATCTATCTCATTTTAATTTTTTTACTAGCTTTTTTACCTTGAAAAGCTGAATATCTCAAAATATTGCTTAACAGAATTAAGTATTGCCTTTCTAAAATGGAAAAATCTCTTGTAAAGCACCTTTCTGAGTCAACTCAACACCGATTAGACTGAGAAAGACGCAATGGTTTGATTGAAAAAAATTATTATGCAAATAAATTGCACACCTAAAATACTATTTTTTTCTTTTTTAAATTAAGTTTTTATCTCATGGAGTTATACCCTTTAAAGTTATTACCGTTTATTAGTTATAACATGTTAGTTGAATGTGACAATGAAAAATAAGCAATATTTCCATCTGAACTTACAATTAAATCCGTGCATATATGCATTAGATCTCAATAAAATATATTTTTAGACACTGATGTCATAGCAATATCTTTAACAAAATCCTTCTTGTAACTAACTCTTGTTTTTTATGTTAGGAGCATGGTTGTCATGGTTGCACTAAATCAAATAAAATATCTAATGCTTAACTAGAACCACTTATGTCTGAGAAAGACTCTAGTTCTGTAGTTGATTCACCTAAGATAATTGTTTAATATTAAAATTTGCTTACTGTTTCTTTTCTTTATTTTTGGAGTTATACTTTGTTTCTTTTTTCCCCAAGATCATAAGGCAACTTGTCTTTTGATCCTTTTTAATTTTTAGTCCTTTTTAATTTTTGGCTTTTTTTAATTTTTGGCCTTTTTTAATTAAATATCAGCATAATATGAAAGTCTATCAAGGCTCATTTTCTTTAAGGTTTTTTTAATAATATCTTTACCAATCTGAAAAACCTGCTTCCCTTCTTCTTCAATTGGGCAGATGTTAAATGCATCTGGCTACTGTCTTGTAGAAGGCCTCCTAGGCAAAGATTTAAGAGGTAAACAGATTCTATCTGTTGACCAGCCTCGCACCCCTTCTTCATCTATTAGGCTGGCACAGATGTACTTTTAATACATTGTTTCAAGTTTAGGATGTTGAATGCTGGATCTTCTTGACTCGATGCATGAGTTTGCTTGTGTCTCTGTTTTTATGACTAGGCAAATCATTCTATTATCTCCTAATGAGGGTACAGCTCTAAAACTCTGTTTTATGGTTCTGAGGACGGCTTAAAGTCAGATTTTCCAAGCTCTGTGGTAGCTCTCAGAGAGGCTGATTCCATCAACAGCTGAAAAATATCAGAGTAATAACAGTGCCATGTTGCTTATGGATGGTGTCCCTGTTTGTACTTTTGGTGTGCATTGCCAAGGCCACATTGGAGCCCTTTGTTACGGCTTAAGGTTTATAAAAAATAATGAGGCAATTGTTTGGGCTGTTAAACAGTGTATTGAGTACTATCTATGCGTTAAGTCAAGTTCTTTAACAAATTTAAAAATGAATAAAGTACCAAAAATTATAAAACACAAAAAACCATCATCATCACCACTAAATCATTCACTAATATTTGTGGTCTTTGAAATAACTTTTTTTCTGTTGAGCCTTAACTC